TGGTGGACAGACCTGATCAACCAGGCTGTTACTGCTGGCTGCACGCAAACCAACGTACGAGCCACAGCCCAGCTGGTCAGGTACCGACTTTAGGTGCTTGTCCAGTGCCAGCTTGAAGACAGCCAGGGGTCTGTTGGTAATCCCCCTTATGTATGCTGGAATTTGTTTTGTATTCTGATGAAGATTTAATTTCCTCGTGTTTACCATATCTGAGTAATTGAAATTTCTCATCGCTGAACTTCATATTGTTTTCTGCAGCCCACTGAAAGATTTGGTTGATGTCCGCCTGGAGCCTTGCAGTGTCTGCAATGGAAGTCACTGTCATGCAGATTCGGGTGTCATCTGCAAAGGAAGACATGGTGCTGTGGCTGACATCCTTGTTTATGTCAGATATGAGGATGAGGAACAAGATGGGAGCGAGTACTGTGCCTTGTGGAACAGAACTTTTCACCGTAGCTGCCTCGGACTTTACTCTGTTGACTCTGTGTTCTGTTAGTGAGGAAATTATAGATCCATCGACCAACTTTTCCTGTTATTCCTTTAGCACGCATTTTGTGCGCTATTACGCCATGGTCACACTTGTCGAAGGCTTTTGCAAAGTCTGTATATATTACATCTGCATTCTAGATGGGTGGTGATCTTGCTTCTTAGGACCCTTTCAAAGATTTTTATGATATGGGATGTTAGTGCTATCGGTCTGTAGTTCTTTGCTAATTGCTTTACTGCCCCCTTTGTGGAGTGGGGCTATGTCTGTTGTTTTTAGTAACTGTGGGACGACCCCCATGTCCATGCTCCCTCTCCATAGGATGGTAAAAGCTCGTGATAGGGGCTTCTTGCAGTTCTTGATGAACACGGAGTTCCATGAGTCTGGCCCTGGGGCAGAGTGCATGGGAATGTCATCTGTCGCCTGTTCGAAGTCATTTGGCGTCAGGATAACATCAGATAGGCTTGTGTTAACCAAATTCTATGGCTCTCTCATAAAAAATTAATTTTGGTCTTCGACTCTCAGTCTGGTTAGCGGCTTGCTAAAAACTGAGTCATATTGGGACTTGAGTAGCTCACTCATTTCCTTGCTGTCATCTGTGTAGGACCCATCTTGTTTAAGTAGGGGCCCAATACTGGACGTTGTTCTCAACTTTGATTTGGCATAGGAGAAGAAATACTTTGTTTCTTTCGATTTCATTTACGGCTTTTAGTTCTTCCCGCAATTCCTGACTCCTATAAGATTCCTTTAGCTTAAGTTCAATGCTTACTATTTCTCTGACCAGTGACTCCCTACGCATTTTAGATATATTTACCTCTTTTAGCCGCTCTGTTATTCTTTTCCGTCGCCTGTAAAGGGAGCGCCTGTCTCTTTCTATTTTACATCTACTCCTCCTTTTTCTCAGAGGAATAAGCCTTGTGCATACATCGAGTGCTACCGAGTTAATCTGTTCTAGGCATAAGTTGGGGACTGTGTTGCTTAGTCTATCTTCCCAGCTTATATCGGTTAGGACTTGGTTTACTTGGTCCCACTTTATGTTTTTGTTATTGAAGTTGAATTTGGTGAATGCACCCTCATGACTAATCTCATTATGTCGGTCTGGGGCTTCGCGCATACATGTCTGAACCTCAATTATGTTGTGATCTGAGTATATTGTTTTTGATATGGTGACATTTCGTATCAGATCATCATTGTTAGTGAAGATGAGGTTTAGTGTATTCTCTAGTCTAGTAGGCTCTATTATTTGCTGGTTTAAATTGAATTTTGTGCAGAGATTATTTAAAAGCTCGTGTGTGTGTGAGTTCTCATCAGAGCTGCCTCCTGGTGTTATTACTGCAACAACATTATTTGCTATATTCCTCCATTTTAGGTGCCTTAAGTTGAAATCCCCCAGGAGCAAGATGTTGGGGGCAGGAGCTGGCAGATTTTCCAGACAGTGGTCAATTTTTAACAGCTGTTCCTGGAATTGCTGGGATGTTGCATCCGGAGGCTTGTAGACTACCACAATGACTAGGTTTTGGTTCTCGATCTTTACTGCTAAAACTTCCACTACATCATTTGAGGCATTAAGCAGTTCTGTGCAAACAAGTGACTCTGCGATGTACAGGCCAACCATCCCCCCTTTTGCCTGTTCACTCTGTCGCATCTGTATAGGTTGTAACCTGGGATCCATATTTCGTTGTCCAAGTGATCCTTTATGTGGGTCTCAGTGAAAGCCGCGAACATTGCATTTGCCTCTGCAAGCAGTCCACGGATGAAAGGTATTTTGTTGTTTGTTGCTGGCTTTAGACCCTGTATATTTGCAAAGAAGGATGTCATCGGACTGGTGGTATTGTTGGTACTGGGGGGGCGGGATTTTTTTTCCGGCATTAGTATCTGTATCTGTTGGTTTGGAGTGGAGGCCATCGACTGTGGTTCCACTCCAGGAATGACTGGATTTGGTGTACGATTTCTGCCATTTCCTGCCAGTTTTTTTTCCTTCCTGGCACTAAAACACCTCTCCCTCTTGAGTGGCTGTGGCTACCCAGGTTTTCCCATGGCCTGGATGTTGAGACTTATATCATAATTTTCTAAGTTACTTTTGCTCTTTGCCAGCCATTTTCAGGACCATTTTTTGTTGGTTATGCTTCAGATTTACACATCCTACTTGCAGTTTATTCATTGATCTTATACAACATTCAGACTTCTTGGTGGTGTATTTTATAATTAACTATGTTTTTTCTGTTTAAGGAAGGCTTGTTGATTTTATAATATTTCAGCAACATTTCACCAGCTTCCTTCTGTTCTAAAAAACTGAGCATAGAACTTTTTTCTAACATTTATTTTCATTTTATTTACCTTTATTTATTTATAATTTGAGCACACTTACAGAGGTACAAAAAAAAATACAGATAAGAGCAGCATGCCAAAGCCACTTATACTATGCATAGCATTACGGGCTGGCTTAAAATTAACTTAAGATTAACTAAGCAATGATGAAATCAGTGAAAAACATTAATGTAAACTGATTACTATAAAGCACAAGTGAGTATTACAAAGACAGGTCATATGGTTGCATGCATTGTTGTAAATTCAGTAGAATGGAGTATTCTGTTAGGTAGTGAATTTAAAAAATAATAAAGTTAGATTGGGTTTTAGGTTTAACATTTATGTGATATAATTGTGAGAAACATTTAAGATATACAATTTATAAGGTTCAGTTATTCAGTATTTATTTGGTTTTGGGTGAGTAAGTGATCTTTGAGAAGAGACTTGAATTTATAAAAGGTAGTGTTTCTTTTATATTTACAGGTAATGAATTCCAGATTTTAGGGCCTTTTATGTGCATTGAGTTTTTGCATAGCGTGAGATGGACACGAGAATATCAAAGAGTGATCTGTGCCTTGTGTTATGGTCATGTGTTCTGTTGAGGTTGGCAAGGAGATGTTTGAGGGAGGGTTAATATCAGAGTTGAGTGTTTCTATGTATGTAATAGGTGCAGTAATAAGTATGGATGTTTTGTATGGTGAGTAGGTTGAGTGTATTGAATATTGGTGGAGTGTGCTGCCTGTAGTGAGAATTTGTTATCATTCTAACTGCAGCCTTTTGTTGGGTAAATTAGTGGTCTGAGATGGTTACTTGTTGTTGAGCCCCATGCACAAATTCCATAGGTGAGATAGGGGTAAATAAGAGAGTGATATAGGGCCAGGAGGGCTGACTGTGGAGCATAGTACCGTATCTTCGATAGTATGCCTACAGTCTTGGAAATTTTCTAGAAATTTGTTGTATATGTGTATGAAATTTGAGTCTATTATCAAGGTGGATTCCTAAGAATTTTCCCTCTGTTAGCTTTGTGATAGGTGATCCGTTTATCATTATGTTAAGAGGGACATCTGTAGCTCTGTTACCAAACTGAATGAAGTAGGTTTTGTCAATGTTTAGTGTAAGTTTGTTAGTACTCATCCAGGTAGATATTTTCTGTAATTCGGTATTTACAGTATTGGCTAGCGTGACTGGGCTCGGGTGGAGAAGACGTATGTTGTGTCATCAGCAAATAGTGTGGGTTTGAGTAATTGAGAAGCATTTGTAGGTCATTTATGTATAGGAGAAAGAGAAGAGGGCCAAGGACACTTCCTGTGGGACACCAACTGTAATTGGTTGTGCAGAAGAGTTTGCCCCATTTGCGTACACATATTGGCTTCTGTTGCTGAGGTATGACTTGAGGTAGTTGAGGGAGTGCCCTCTTATACCATAGTGTGATAATTTTACGTGGAGCAAGTCATGGTCAACTGTATCAAAAGCTTTACGTAAGTCAATGAAGATCCCCAGTGGGACTTCTTTTTTCTCTATTGCAGTGTATATATGTTCTAGCATGTGTATAATAGCATCATTAGTATTTTTATTAGGCCTGAATCCAAATTGGCAGGGGTTGAGTATGTTTTGGGAGATAAGGTAGGAGTAGATTCGTTTATGAATTAATTTTTCGAAGATTTTTGAGAGAGGGTGTAAGTTGGATATTGGCCTATAGTTATTCAACTCTGTTTGGTCTCCTCCTTTGTGGATCGGGGTGACCCTTGCTATTTTGACCATTTGACCATTTTGACCATTTTGACCATTATTTTAAAACTTCACCCTAATCTTCTATACAGGTAACCAACCATCTGTGGGTGAAAGTAACAGAGACCCAGAAAAAGAGAACACTCAGTCTTTTAAACCTCAAAGACAAGCAGGAAGTGGTGTGGCATATGCTGAACCAAAAGAGTATGAATCTGGTGAGTTTATATTTAGAAAAAAAAAAAATACACTCATGAGCTTAACATCTTTGTGATATGTAAAGAAAAATAGGAAAATTTGATAATTCAACCGGAATTCTTTTGTCATATAGGTTTAATATGCTAAATTTGTAATAATTTATTATTAGTACTAATGGCTTGTATCTATAAATGGCTAATGTTAAACATCAGAAAACAAAATTAAAGTTTTATGTTATCAGATGCCGTACAATTACGAGTGGCAAAACGTTTCCTCAAATAAATATCCTGACCTATACATATGTGTCTTTTTCCACATTTGTCTGTATCACCATACCATTTTTCAAAGGCTCTCATGTTAAAGATATAAGCATTTTTAAATAATTTTATGTTTTTGAAGACAGGCTAATTTTTATGATGTTTTGTTTTGTGCTTTTCATTGCCTAGTTCTATTGCTAACTTAATATAAGTTAGTGTAAACTTGTTTTCTGGCATTAATATGGATTTATAAGTGGAAAAATGGCGTTCCGCTTTTCAGCGATTTCCACTTTAAGGCAGTAGCCTGGAACCTAACCTGCTGTATAAGTGGGACTGAACTGTACTTGATTTGTTTATTTAACTGCAGTTGTATTTTATTCAGTTGTTTTTATTAATATGATTAGTCAAAGAATGAAGATACAGAATTTGAGTAATTATCAGCAATGGTGTTTGTACCCTTGAGTAATTTTGAAAGTTTATTTCTTGTTTACTCAGAGAAAGCCTTTGTGATTTATCTGTTTAAATGGCATATTCTGTGCTCTCTTCAATTCAAATTCTTTTCAGTACTGTAGCCAAAACCACTAGATGTTTTAATTTATTATTCTGGAATTGTGTAAGTTTTGTTTTGCAGTAACAATTATGCCAGACAAAGAAGTGGCTGAACCCCAGACATATCATCGACGAGAGGTTTTGAGTAATTGGTCTCGATATGAAGAAATACCAACCGATGAACCAGAAGAAGGAGAAGACTACCTTATGGGTGAAGATTTCTCTCTAATCTTGGAACAGCAAGGTGAAAATAGAACTTATTTCTTTGTATTTCAGAAAGAGCAAAAAAAGTGCTGTCTCAACCAAAGAATTAACCTATACAGCACACATTGTCACCTTAGAAGTAAACAAATAACACAAAAAAGACTGAACACCTCATGGCTCTCAAAAAAGCATACTGTACTAAGATGTTTCTTGATATATAGAATCAATATGTATATACTAGTGTGTTGAGTGGTTTCGAAAGCCGACAAATTGAAGAATTGAGACACTTATGCAACATATGGGAATCTTTATTAAAGAAACGTTTCGCCACACAGTGGCTTCATCAGTCCAATACAAAGTAGAAATGGGTAAGGAGAGGAGGATATTGAGGTAATCAGTCCCTCAACCTGGAATTGATGTGTTCAGTCCATCACTCTTGTAGGAAATACAGCATAGGGCCAGAGAGGTGGCTTATATACTGCAGTCAGGTGAGTTGAAGCAGGAGGAGGTGGGATCACAGTGGGACCTTCCACTAGTGTAAGTAGGTTGTCGTGCAAAGGTTGGATAAGCATTGAAGAAGTCTTTGTACCAAGATCCCATGATGTTGCAGTGTCTGACTGATGTGTTGAATGGTTTTGAAAACCGACAAGTTGAAGAATTGAGACACTTATGCAACCATTTAATACATCTGTCAGACACTGCAACATCATGGTATCTTGGTACAAAAACTTCTTCAATGCTTGTCCAACCTTTGGACAATGACCCACTTACACTAGTGGAAGGTCCCACTGTGATCCCACCTCCTCCTGCTTCGACTCACCTGACTGCAGTATATAAGCCACCTCTCTGGCCCTATGCTGTATTTCCTACAAGAGTGATGGACTGAACACATCAGTTCCAGGCTGAGGGACTGATTACCTCAATTTCCTCCTCTCCTTACCCATTTCTACTTTGTATTGGACTGATGAAGCCACTGTGTGGCAAAACATTTCTTCAATAAAGATTCCCATATGTTGCATAAGTGTCTCAATTCTTCATATACTATTGTCATAGCCACAGCTACAAATATGTTTCAAACTGTACAGTATATACATAAATGATAATTGTTAGGTTTTTGAAATAACTCTCCATGAAGGCTACATTTATTTTGTGTCAAAATATGTAAAATTACCTGTCAAATACCATGCTATTGTCATTCATCTTATTTTTTTAAACTATATTGTGTATTTTATAATTTCTGTTTTAGCCAATTCTGGAGGTGGACACCTACGATTAAAGGGAGAGTCCAGCTGGGATGAGACAGAGACTAACATCCTCACCTCACATGGCCTGGGAGCACTCAGAGTTGCAGACCTCGTTGCTTCCATCAACACTATCCCACTTTATACACAGCTTAACATACCAGAAGAGTCACTCCCAGTAAGCTGTATTATTTATATTATGTATATGATTAAATTTCATAAAGCTAAATTGTATCTTTTTCTACATGATGTAACTAATAATTTGAAGTGTGTAGCTCCTCTTTCTCCCTTCTCATCTAACATCTCACCACTCACAGTTAACTGTCAAGTCCTCTTGCTCCATTAATTATTTGTAAATTCTCATGTTTTGATTTTGCCATGGAAAATCACCTACTCCATAAAAATGCAGGTCATTGTACTGACACAGTTCATTTGCAACTGACTAATTCATAATTTGCAACCTGTCACATTGTGCTTGATTGTAATGAAATGTTCAAGCTGTACTGATATTCAGTGACTTTAAAACTATATACTTTGTCTAGATTTAAGTGGTATGTAAGCCTTATGATTAGTTTGCTTGAAATGCATTGCATAATTAGTGGCACTGCATTATTAGCATATCTGTATTATAATTAAGGTCAAAATCAAAAAAGCAGTCATTTGAAATGTATAACTACTGTAACTTCTTTATGTGACTCATAAGGAAATAAAATTAATATTTTTTTATTTTAATTTAATTTTTAACTTTATCTGTTTCCAAAACTGTTTCTTAGTCTCAGCACAATTTGCTCTTCTTTTGCGCTCTTTCACTACTTTTTGAGCCTTTTTATTTTCATTGCCATACTGTTTTTTTACTCTTTCACAAACAAGCTTTAGTCCCTTATAATCCTTTTTCATTTATTTTCCTAATCATTTCTTTTCCTCCTCACATCCATACTCATAAAACAAACTAATAGTGTTCTCTAGTACTTCATTCTTAATTCCACACCATACTCCTTCACCTAGTGATTTCTTCTCACCCTAACTCACATTTCTCCTAAGAGTTGTTTGCATTTAAAACTAACCATTCCCTTTAACTCATCCACCTTTTTTCTTTTTTCATACCCATATTCTGTACCTCACCTTACTCATAGTCTAGCTACCAGTCAGTGATGTTATTAATAATCTGCCAATACCCTCAGAGTGTGTAATTGAGACCATTTGGGGCAGTGTTTATTTCATTACATTAGTAAAGAAGATATTTAGGCTGCCTTTAAAAATTTTACATTCTACAAAATAGAATTTTGTGTATTAAACACTAAATATGCTATAATCTCATTTGCTTCAGATATTCTCAGTTATCCCATATGATGGTATATTTATACTCATTTATGTTTTAGAGATAAGAAATAGGCAAGTATGTTAATGAACTTTGAGTTTTTGGTAATCATGTTCCTTTTTTTTTATCATATTATCCAGCGAATACAGTGTTAATGCAATTTTTCTATCCAGGAATCTGTTATGGAATTTTACATGCAGCTTGCTGAAGACAATAGAAAGCTTTATCAGCCTAGCAGTAATTACAGTGAATGTAATGATGTTAATGAGAAGATCCTTCAAAGTTTAATCATAAGTGAAAGTGAGCCATTGGATCTGGCCAGTGAGATGCCTGAAAGTAGCCAGTGCACAAAGAATGCTGTTGATGTTGCCTTATCCCTTACTAGTGCTTTTGCCCCAGAGCCTGAGGATGTTGACCTTGACACTCTTTTACATGTTCCTAGTGTAGAAAATCCAAGTCCTGTTCATCAGCCTAATACGGAAAGGATGCCCAGTCCAGAAAAGAAGCCTACCCCAGAAAGGCAACCTAGTCCTAAAAAACAGCCTAGTCCAGAAAAGGAACCCAGTCCTGAAAAACAGCCTTTTGCAAAGAAACAACCAAATCTTGTTATTAATATGGAGCCCTCACTGGCAAAACAGCCCACCCCTGTTAAGGAAGTACCATGTGATTCTAACAAAGTTGCAGATGCCAAAGAAGTTAAACAACCTGGTAAAGCTCGTAAACAGAAATCAAATATGCAACGAGAAAAATCCAAAGAAAAAAGCCCAACAAGTTTTGATTTTGGTCTTTCAAAGAAAGCCACTAATGATATTAAGCCATCAGTTGGATTCAACTTTGGTGTAGCTAAGACTGATACATTTAAAAATAAAAAGTCCAATAAGGCAAATAATAAAGTGTCAGATGCTGTAGAGCTTTTAAATTCTCTGCCATCACCAGAAAACACTGAGGAGGTACAGGAGGGTCCTACTATAGACCTAGATGCACCAGCTGAGCAAAGTAAACCTGTGTTGCTAATTAGTAAAACTGAAGCAGAAGATCTTGAAGATTGGCTTGATTCTGTACTGGATGATTAATGTATTTATCTTAGGCAAGTGTTATATAGTGGAACAAGTAAATGCATGCTGTAATATACCATATAATGGCTACAAGCCCTGGCTAAATGCATCACCACATGTGGGGTACAAAACATTGCTTGAGTTAACAGAATTTACTATATCTCCATGAAAACTTAGTTTTATTGTATTACTATGATTAATGATAACATTTTGTATTTGGTCAATCTTTTTAAGAGCTTGTGACAGTAACTGCACAACATCAAGGATGCATAATAAAATCAATGTTTAGATTTTTAGTTGTATCCTCTGTGATAGGAATTTCACCAAATATTCATTTATAAATTGTTCATGCTACTCTAATATTCTAATTCTTTCTGTATTAAAGAAATTTCTTAATTCATTATAACTGAAAGTCAGTCAGCAGCACTTATTTGATTCCATTTTTTTAAGTTTTCTTTATTCAGTGATTTTGATTAAAAACATTGCTTTAAGATGGTAATTTGATAAAGTGTTTGGCTACAAGTGTACTGTGAAATACTGTACTGTAATATTCCTTCATTTTACTCTTTTTATTCAAGGCTGTAGAATATCCATATTATTTATGGTACCCACAACTGCATTCTGTTGAAGATTTATAAATAGCCTCATCATTAAGACAAACATAGCTTTTGCTTTCAAAAATTTATGTGAGGTAGCTTTCATGCCTATTAAAGAAAAATGCACAGTACAGTATATGCTTTTTTTTTTAATCAAATATGTTTCATTTAATACTGCTTGTTGATAAAAATGTTACTCATTTTCAGTAATTATATTACCAAAAATTAATTGCTGTATACACCCTTGTGTGTGATATTCATGATAGTATATAACTATCATTATAATTCTAGTAAAATAATAATTATTAAATATCAGATGATTTCTATTAAATTATGTATTCAATTATCCATTATTTTTTTCATCCTTGAAGTATAAATTATTTTGTGAAGAATCTCTAATGTATATTGTTAATCAAGTCATATCTAACATATTAATATTTATACCAACACTGATTAACAAAGAAGTCTCATTCATTTACATCATTGCTTATTCTGTATGAGAAAATAAAAAAAAATTGTCATTGTATTTAAGATTTTTATATTTTGTCAGCCACTGCATTGGATATTTTAAGCCAAATAGTAAAATACTCAAGAATTATACCTAGTTAAAATATACACCATAGTAAATTAATTGTTCTGATAATTTTCACTGCAGCATGGTTTATCCACATTATTGTGATATGCAGTTTGATATGGTTGAACATTGTAGCACTGTACGTGATTTTTTCCTAATAAAAGAGCTTAAATACACGGTTGTACTTCACTATACTACACTACTAAATATACACAATTTACAATGCATAAAAGTTTCATCTTTACCATGATTCTTGAGACCTCAGAATATTTATGGTTTTTGTTGTTTTCTTCAGAAGCAGTAATTTCAATATTTCACTAAGCAAATTTAATTTTATAGACATTTATTCCCCTGAAGGGAGGTTCCATGATGCCAGTAAAGGGTTCTTCATCCAAAGAATTGGACCTAATCTACCCTTCCTTGGATCAAACTTAACCTGCATCCTGTTCCCCCAGGCACTGTATTACCCATATGAGTTTAGCACTTGCCCATACATTAATACAGACATTTACCCTGCAGTTTTTAAACTGCAACATTAACACCCCTCCTTCAGAGTGCAGGCACTGTACTTCCCATCTCCAGGACTCAAGTCCGGCCTGCCGGTTTCCCTGAATCCCTTCATAAATGTTACTTTGCTCACACTCCAACAGCACGTCAAGTATTAAAAACCATTTGTCTCCATTCACTCCTATCAAGCAGGCATGCGTGAGCGTGTTTGATAGGAGTGAATGGAGACAAATGGTTTTTAATACTTGACGTGCTGTTGGAGTGTGAGCAAAGTAACATTTATGAAGGGGTTCAGGGAAACCGGCAGGCCGGACTTGAGTCCTGGAGATGGGAAGTACAGTGCCTGCACTCTGAAGGAGGGGTGTTAATGTTGCAGTTTAAAAACTGTAGTGTAAAGCACCCTTCTGGCAAGACAGTGATGGAGTGAATGATGGTGAAAGTTTTTCTTTTTCGGGCCACCCTGCCTTGGTGGGAATCGGCCAGTGTGATAATAATAAAAAATTTACCCTGAGATAGATAAGAAAGATAAGTGCTTTAAATTTGCCTTAACCACTCAATGGAAGGCTTAACGATATGAGGAAGAAGTAAATTCACGTACATATGTGTGTGTGTACTCACCTAATTGTGGTTGCAGGGGTCAAGTCATAGCTCCTAGCCCCACCTCTTTCGCTGGTTGCAACTAGGTCCACTGTCTCCCTGCTCCATGAGCTTCATCATACCCCTTCTTAAAGCTGTGTACGGATCCTGCCTCTACTATATCACTCTCCAGATTGTTACACTTCATGACAACTCTATTGCTGAAGAAATACTTCCTAATATACCTGTGAATCATCTGAGTTTTCAGCTTCCAGTTGTGACCTCTATACACCCTGTAAATTTCTTTCAGTTATTTTATATGAATGGTAAATGTTGGCTTAGCTTATTGGAGATGCCATGTTTAAGATCAATGTGTGGTATGAATATTATGCAGAGAATGAAGAGCATAAAAATTAGAAAATGGTTTAGTGGTATGAAAGAAAACTGAGAAAGAGGAAATAAAACTCAGAATAGAAGGAGGGAATGTTAAAATGGTCATTTAGAAAGGAAGAAACAGGATAGGCTGATTAAGAGGGTGTATCAGTTGGGGGTGGATGGGAGAAGTAGGAGATGTTCCAGGAAATGTTGGAAGAAAAGTGTGGAGGAGGTTTTCAGATGAACCTGAGCATCCAGCAGGTATGTATAAGTGTGTTAGCTAGAGTGTAGACTAAGTTGTTTATGGGGTTTAATGTGCTGTCAAAGTGTGAGCAAGGTTATATATATAATAGGATTTCCTTTAAAAGGGGTGTCCTGATGCTAGTCAAGGGGTTTTTATTCCAAATATTAGTGCTACCCTCCCCTTCCTGGAATCACACCTGATTATCCCACTATCCCTCCTATTTCCTAAATGCTGGTGACTACAATAATTATGAAAGGATTCAGGAAAATGAATTAACCAGACTTGAGTTCTGCAAGTGCTTGTACTCTGGAAGATGCATGGAGGCTGTTGCTGGTCAGAGGATCATACGATTTTAATGTCTGTGCATTTCTGGGAAGACTGCTAATGAATGTCTTATTCATGGGGTCACCCTGCCTTGGTGGGAAGTGGCTGAAGTGCTAAAAAAAAAAAGCGGTGAGAAAAACTTGAAAAGATAAACGAGTTGCTGTAAAGTATATTGATGGACCTATTACCTGGAGTTTACCTGGAGAGAGTTTCGGGGGTCAACGCCCCCGTGGCCCGGTCTGTGACCAGGCCTCCTGGTGGATCAGCGCCTGATCAACCAGGCTGTTGCTGCTGGCTGCACGCAAACCAACGTACGAGCCACAGCCCGGCTGATCAGGAACTGACTTTAGGTGCTTGTCCAGTGCCAGCTTGAAGACTGCCAGGAGTCTGTTGGTAATCCCCCTTATGTGTGCTGGGAGGCAGTTGAACAGTCTCGGGCCCCTGACACTTATTGTATGGTCTCTTAACGTGCTAGTGACACCCCTGCTTTTCATTGGGGGATGGTGCATCGTCTGCCAAGTCTTTTGCTTTCGTAGTGAGTGATTTTCGTGTGCAAGTTCGGTACTAGTCCCTCTAGGATTTTCCAGGTGTATATAATCATGTATCTCTCCCTCCTGCGTTCCAGGGAATACAGGTTTAGAAACCTCAAGCGCTCCCAGTAATTGAGGTGTTTTATCTCCGTTATGCGCGCCGTGAAAGTTCTCTGTACATTTTCTAGGTCGGCAATTTCACCTGCCTTGAAAGGTGCTGTTAGAGTGCAGCAATATTCCAGCCTAGATAGAACAAGTGACCTGAAGAGTGTCATCATGGGCTTGGCCTCCCTAGTTTTGAAGGTTCTCATTATCCATCCTGTCATTTTTCTAGCAGATGCGATTGATACAATGTTATGGTCCTTGAAGGTGAGATCCTCCGACATAATCACTCCCAGGTCTTTGACGTTGGTGTTTCGCTCTATTTTGTGACCAGAATTTGTTTTGTACTCTGATGAAGATTTAATTTCCTCATGTTTACCATATCTGAGTAATTGAAATTTCTCATCATTGAACTTCATATTGTTTTCTGCAGCCCACTGAAAGATTTGGTTGATGTCCGCCTGGAGCCTTGCAGTGTCTGCAATGGAAGACACTGTCATGCAGATTCGGGTGTCATCTGCAAAGGAAGACACGGTGCTGTGGCTGACATCCTTGTCTATGTCGGATATGAGGATGAGGAACAAGATGGGAGCTAGTACTGTGCCTTGTGGAACAGAGCTTTTCACCGTAGCTGCCTCGGACTTTACTCTGTTGACGACTACTCTCTGTGTTCTGTTAGTGAGGAAATTATAGATCCATCGACCGACTTTTCCTGTTATTCCTTTAGCGCGCATTTTGTGCGCTACTACGCCATGGTCACACTTGTCGAAGGCTTTTGCAAAGTCTGTATATATACATCTGCATTCTTTTTGTCTTCTAGTGCATTTAGGACCTTGTCGTAGTGATCCAGTAGTTGAGACAGACAGGAGCGACCTGTTCTAAACCCATGTTGCCCTGGGTTGTGTAACTGATGGGTTTCTAGATGGGTGGTGATCTTGCTTCTTAGGACCCTTTCAAAGATTTTTATGATATGGGATGTTAGTGCTATTGGTCTGTAGTTCTTTGCTGTTGCTTTACTGCCCCCTTTGTGGAGTGGGGCTATGTCTGTTGTTTTTAGTAACTGAGGGACGACCCCCGTGTCCATGCTCCCTCTCCATAGGATGGAAAAGGCTCGTGATAGGGGCTTCTTGCAGTTCTTGATGAACACAGAGTTCCATGAGTCTGGCCCTGGGGCAGAGTGCATGGGCATGTCATTTATCGCCTGTTCGAAGTCATTTGGCGTCAGGATAACATCGGATAGGCTTGTGTTAATCAAATTTTGTGGCTCTCTCATAAAAAATTCATTTTGATCTTCGACTCTCAGTCTGGTTAGCGGCTTGCTAAAAACTGAGTCATATTGGGACTTGAGTAGCTCACTCATTTCCTTGCTGTCATCTGTGTAGGACCCATCTTGTTTAAGTAGGGCCCAATACTGGGCGTTGTTCTCGATTTTGATTTGGCATAGGAGAAGAAATACTTTGGGTTTCTTTTGATTTCATTTATAGCTTTTAGTTCTTCCCGTGATTCCTGACTCCTAAAGGATTCTTTTAGCTTAAGTTCGATGCTTGTTATTTCTCTGACCAGTGTCTCCCTGCGCATTTCAGATATATTGACCTCTTTTAGCCGCTCTGTTATTCTTTTCCGTCGCCTGTAAAGGGAGCGCCTGTCTCTTTCTATTTTACATCTACTCCTCCTTTTTCTTAGAGGAATAAGCCTTGTGCATACATCGAGTGCCACCGAGTTAATCTGTTCTAGGCATAAGTTTGGGTCTGTGTTGCTTAGTATATCTTCCCAGCTTATATCGGTTAGGACTTGGTTTACTTGGTCCCACTTTATGTTTTTGTTATTGAAGTTGAATTTGGTGAATGCTCCCTCGTGACTAGTTTCATTTTGTCGGTCTGGGGCTCCTCGCATACATGTCTGAACCTCAATTATGTTGTGATCTGAGTATATTGTTTTTGATATAGTGACATTTCTTATCAGATCATCATTGTTAGTGAATATGAGGTCTAGTGTATTCTCCAGTCTAGTAGGCTCTATTATTTGCTGGTTTAAATTGAATTTTGTGCAGAGATTTAAAAGCTCGTGTGAGTGTGAGTTTTCATCAGAGCTGCCTCCTGGTGTTATTACTGCAACAATATTATTTGCTATATTCCTCCATTTTAGGTGCCTTAAGTTGAAATCCCCCAGGAGCAAGATGTTGGGTGCAGGAGCTGGAAGATTTTCCAGACAGTGGTCAATTTTTAACAGCTGTTCCTGGAATTGCTGGGATGTTGCATCCGGAGGCTTGTAGACTACCACAATGACTAGGTTTTGGTTCTCGACCTTTACTGCTAAAACTTCCACTACGTCATTTGAGGCATTAAGCAGTTCTGTGCAAACAAGTGACTCTGCAATGTACAGGCCAACCCCCCTCTTTTGCCTGTTCACTCTGTCACATCTGTATAGGTTGTAACCTGGGATCCATATTTCATTGTCCAAGTGATCCTTTATGTGGGTCTCAGTGAAAGCCGCGAACATTGCCTTTGCCTCTGCAAGC